TGCACGTCTGTGGCGTCTGTCAACAGCAGCGCCCACACTACGAGACGCTCGAGCTGAATGTAGCTGGTGAAACGGTGTGAATAGAGTGACTGTGACCTTCTTTCGTTAAAATTAATTCAATCCAAAGGGACCAGATTGCAAGTCCTTGGGGTATACAGTTGCCGCCTCCTAGTAATATGGTTAGACGTCTTCGGTTATGACAACACGTGTCTGCCAAGGTGGTTACTATGTCTTTAGGGGTAAAAGATGAGTGCATAGGAGTGCGACACGCCAAGTGGTGGAAAGATTATATCACTTCAATGTAATCAACTTCGTACCTCGACTCTGTGACATTTGATCCACGTCCTGTGAACTGTTATCCTCGAGTTCAATGACACTTAGTACTGGTGGATGTGGCGTTTCCTGCGCAAGATGCCCCGCCACTGGCATGATCAGCGATGGCTGATATTGCTGTTGTTGTTGCAGATAGCTGCAGCACTGCTGTTGTTGATGACGTTGTTGGACTATCGCAGTATGATGCGAGGTAGGAACTGGCATGGGCGGAAAATAGGGCATGGTGTGTGGGAGGTGGGGCACTGTTCGACTTTGGCCTCGAGGTGCTCCCTGCACTGTCCCCCATGGAGGATTCGGTAGAATGAGTGGAGGGGGTGGCGCCGGTGACGACCGTGCTGATGTGGAACAGGATGTGATGGTACCGTCATGGTGGTAGCCTCCAGTGCCTTGTCCGTATGCAAGCTACAGAGAATGCTTTGTTGAGGCAGCTGCGATTGAAGAGCAAACAAGTCTGCTGTCCCATCAAAGACCACCTAAATAACTGGTTGCAAGGGAATGCTTTGCTACGAGGTCAGCCAAGGACGTGAGGTTACAGTCCCTGCTGGAGCCAAATTTTTCCACAGCGCAGAATGTTTGGATAAACTGCGTCCACACGCTCCCTTATACAAAATGTTATTGGAATAGCCTTCTATTGTGGCACGATTCGCTATGCAGTAATGTGGACCGACGCAAGGGAGATGCAAGGGGCTTAAGTAGTTGAATAGGGAATCAAAATTTGGGGTCAGCCTCCGCTTTAGAGATGTGCATGCCACCAACGACAGTAATGCAGCCTTTTGAATCACTTATAAATGGTAAGGAATGGCAGTCAAGCAGGGAAACACGCAAACTTACCGGAGCACTTTGAGCTATCGGTAGCGCAGGTGGACTGTGGAGGACTGTGACGGGTGCGAAGTTCGGCGATTCCTGAGGGATCCAACCGGATTCCTGTGTTGGATGGAGAATTTGTACGAGTTAGCAGATGGTGGAGGCAAGCAACAACAAAACCAACATCAACAAAACGACAGCAAAGGTGTGCTTGAGATTTCACTCCATTTTTGAGGGCAGCTAACAGCATCTAAGCCAAATCTCTCAACACAACCCTCTCTTTCATGCTTTTGCCTACAGATGGACTGAGCATTGGATTAAGACGATCAAAAGCCGTTGCAGTCTTGTGTCCTTGGTGAAGGAAGGTGGGACAAAACTGGGGCATAGAATAAAATCAGCAAACAACCTGCATCGTTTCTGGCGAGACGGTGGTTGTTGGACAGGGACGGTAGTCATTCGATGCCGGATAGGCGTGATTGGGAGGAACGGCAGCCATCGGTTCTGGAAGCTGAAATGGAACGCAGAAAACGGCACATGAAACTCTTCGCCATGACCAGCTTTTGTGGCGCCTTCGACAAACATTCTTCTTGCGTTGTGTTCTAATCTGTCCAGTCAGGTTCTAAGTGTCTGTAGGTATCCTCTTGCCATTTCTAGCTGCAATTTATGAAGTACCACCTCTGCTTAGCACATCAGTGCGTCACCGGTTGACATGACTGTTGTGCAACGAAAGCGAAATAAAATTTGTGGGGAGGGGAATGAAGGTGGAACAGACTTCATCCTCCACACTAAGTTGATGTCCGACGTCTTCGTATAAGGCGTTTTGAGATGTGGAAACAAAGTTAACGCCTCCTACTGATGGTCTTGGTCTCCAGCGATAGAAAGGCGGCTGAATGCCTTAAAATTCTACAGTATACAAGGTTGAGTTCATTGTCAAACGTTCTACAGCGAAGGAGAGTAGAAGCTTTGTGCCCCGAAGTCGAATCGCATGGGACACAGGGCAGCACGGGAATCCCGATTCGTCAGCATGCATAATTGGATGCCGAGGTGGATTGAAGAGAGCATATTGCTTCAAACGCATGAAGTTGGGAAGGGCGGTAAGTTGAGCCTTACCATGGTCATTTGCGTGGAAGACGTCGGCGCTGGATATGGCGGACAGAAGGTCGACGACGGAAGTGCTTGCATTGGCGCCTACATAGGATGGAATTCAACAGGAGCAAGACTAGCGGATAAGATTTAAATCAGTCACTAATGGTGGGTGTTAGCCCAAAAGGATCCTACGCTGGTAACTTCTGCGCAATCCTTCAGTCAGACCTACATCTCCTCGTAG